TTTTTTTTTTTTTTTTATCCTCGTTACATTTATCCAAGCAAAACGTTTCCCTAACCACACGTTTCCCAAGGGGGCGGTTCGTTGTATTTAAACGGAGGAGACACGTTTCCTACAACACACACTACCATCAATCCTAATTTAAAACATTAAATAAACTATTTTCGTGTTGTACTCTCCCTTTCCCAGCAAAGCGTAAACAGTAGCACGCGCGCTCCGTGTTTACACAATTTCGCGCGCTACGAGGGATTATTCTACGTTCGAACGTGGCCCCAGCCTGCGGCTCTCTATCGAGTTTTACCGTGTATTTTTGTGAGCACCGAAATTAAACCGGGACCGGATGCTACCGTTGTCCAATGGAAAACCGCGGAGATCCACGTTACTGGATAAAAATAACGATTTATCCACTGAATCGCGTAGCTTTCTATCAAGTTTTAAAATAAAACCCGATGCTTTTCCAAATTGGCACAGAAAATTTTTTTATCGCGATAATTCAGCGTGAATTATTTCCAAAATTATTCATAAATTTTTTTTCCAATCAACCCATTTAAAATCAAAGTAAAATATATTTAAATATTTATGACTAATAAATATTTAATTTATCACCGATAAATAAATTAAATCAAAATTTTCGTGTACTTACGAATATGGAATTGAAGATCTTGTCGTAAAATGCAATGGGTGTCTTGAGAATCGTCTCCGCGGATAAAAGCAATCCGTTGACGTCTGATTGTAGGATCGAAGTACCAGGTGTCGCGTAAGGATATAAATCGTTTTTGCTTAAAGCCGCGGCGAAGGGTGCGAGTATGGCCACCAGCACCAGGGTCAGCGCCAGGGCCTGCCACGATACGCTGAAATGACGCACGCAACGAGTCATTCTCTCTCAGACTGCCTTCACGCTACTGTCGATCGACACCGCCACGCCGACGACGACGACAACGACGACGACAACGACGACGGCGACGACGACGACGGCGAGTCCTCTCTTGCCGCCCCCTAATCGCCTTTGCCCGCTCGTCCTCTCGGTTGCTCTTCCTTTCGAACGCACGAGACACCGTCTCTTTGCTCTCTCACAGTACCATGCCACCGATAATTTCGTGCTACTGCCCCCTCCATCGACCCAGTCCGCCTCGGATCACTCGCCTCTTTCTCGCAGGGCACACGCGAGTATCGCTGTGGTTTCGCGCCGCGTTCACGACGATGGATAATTTTATATTTACTTCTTTACTAGTTTTTTTATTTTACTTATATTCCATCTTTTCGCAATACTTTTCTTTCTTATTTAAACGATCAGTTGATTTAATTCTACCGGTTATCGGTAAATGAAACTGTGCGATAAGTACAGAAGAGGTATACGAGTTACAGTTGTTGCAAAACGTATTTGCACACTAATGTATTCATTACAATGTGCAGTGTATACTGATTAATTAAGTTCAAGTGTCTAAAATTATCCATCATTTGGTAATACTCATATATGATTTCAAACATTTGATACTGCAAAAAAAAAAATCTTTCATTGGAAAACAAATGTATGCGTAATTACTTTTTATGTGTATCATTTTATGTATGTATATTGAGTTTATCAGTGTATGTTTATTAAGTATATCAATCGCTTTTATGTATGTATATTGAATTTATATTTGGATGTTACAGCGATGTCGGAAACGATGGATTTAGATATCTGAGTATCTTGTTTTACGTGCCATTATATTTGCTAGAAATTCCACGAATCTATGCAACCCGAGTATCCATAAATAATACTCATTTTGCTTAGTCTTCATTATCAGACTTTGGATAATATCCACAGTTTCGAGTTCGTTTATTTTTTAATTAATTTATTTTATGTTTTTCCTTTAGCAATCTACGACAGCATCTCAGTTGTGTAATGCATCCGGAGGGACACAGAAAGTAGCAAAGGTTACGCGTCTATTTTTATTCAGCAAAATGTTATCAATTATATGTCTATATATAACACAAACGAATCGGCGTCGCGATTCATTCAATTGCACCTTCGATTTATTCTCCATCAGATTATCTGGCTATTTCACAAGTTTTTAAGGATTTAATTACACTAATAATCGTCATTCATATCAAGAGTCTTGGCAATTGGATTCAAGGTTACTGTAATCTGTGCCCACATTGAATGATCGTAAAGATTTAGCGATTATTGTTCAATCTGAATCTCCTAATCCAATGTTATTTTCAATGAGAATTTATTTCTTGCGTCTTCTTAAGCTTTAATCTTGTTCTCCTATGGAAATGAAACGAAACGATATGATGATCATGAGATTAAAAATAAGAAGAAAAATTCAATTACATTCGTTTCATTGCTTTAGGATGAATCAATCGAGTGGAGAATGTAATGTAGAGACGAATCGTTCGTATAATTTGATTGCATTGCGTTTAAATTTCGCTTTGAAACATTCTAGCTTCCCAGGAAGTTAGAATTTGCGAAGTTCTTTATTCCTTTTCTGTATCATTAGTTCGCTTCCGCGACCCAGTTCCGTCTCTAATTATATTCTTACCTACACCGCGTTCTCTTCAATCTCGCATGTTTCGTCATAGATGATTGTATCTGGATCGTGGAGCATTGTTTTTCGCTGTTATTTGATAGTCACTCGAACGCGGTCCAACGAAGCAGTTCGTGAGACATATGAGATATCGTTTGATATCGCGGCTCAAAACGTGAGATTTCTCTTTCCCCAGATAAAGAAAAAAGTTGCAACTGCGATCTGAAAATCATGCTTTCCTGTACATGTTGGAAATTGATCTTTATTACAAGAAATTACATGACTAATTTGTACATATAAAATATAAATATGATACAAAGACTATGGTACAATAGACGCGTGTTACGGTAGGTCTCGTGTATTTCTGTTAGGTATATGTGCGCGTATGTATTATGCTTTGCATTGGCTCACCTCCTCGAATGGAATGATGCGGAGGTCGGATAAATTCTTAATCATTAATTACTATTATTCGTTAAATTGCTTAATAGTCGTATTTCATGGTAGACGGAGTGACGCGTTTCTCTAACTCGAACATAAGACGAAAGGGATGAGTTGAAGACAGAAAGAATGTAGAAGATTGAACGACATGTCTTTGGAAGAAAAGAGGAGGAACAAGTTCTCAAAAGATGTTTTAGAAGGAAAGGTGTGTTCTTAGAAGGGAAAAGGAGATTGTCGTGCATGTTGAACGTTCTTGAACACATCTGGAATCGGTCGAGTTCGGGATAGATTGAACTGGAAGAAAGAATAAGTTGCGAACGTGGCGTGAAGTAAACGATCGAAAATGATCGTAACGAGCACGTGTATACTTAACAGTAGCGGGTTAAGAACAGTCTAGAAACATGGACGAATAGTGTACAGATTCGTTTAACAACGGACGACACAGGAATTTTGATCAACGATCAATCGGTCCTGTAGCTTCGAGAACGATTCTCTGGAACTAACGGGGATCGACAATCCTGTGTTGCTCGGTAAGCAGACCCGTTACTCATCTTTTGCAACCTTGTCTCGCTTTAATGATTGATTTTAATCATCAGAACGTATCTGACTCGTAGCCGCGATCTACAGATACCATCAAATCCAAGTAGATGAGGCTAAATTAGATGCATGATCGCTTCGTTGTTTGTTACTGTGTTATTGAAATCAATTTGCAAGAAAATTTCAAAAAAGGAAGCAGTCGTTTTCTAGAGATATATTTAAAAACGGACTTAACGATATCCATAGATGTGTGTGTATATATAATATAAAAGGGAATTAAGCTCTTAGATTGGCAGTGCTATATTAGCGAGTCAAGATTGCACATAGCATAAGGAGCAAAGATCGCGGATACGACATATACATACGACGTATATAAGTATCCATATACAGGAGGTCAAACGACAAAGACGCGAGTAGTTTTCGTCGATATTAACAGCAAACGCAGCACAGTTCGTATCAGAAAGCTGAATTCTCTCTGTTTCTGCCGCGCATTACTGACATTCTCGATTTATTTTCATCCCGTCTATTTTCATTCTCTGTGACTCCTTCCCTCGTTTTCCACGATCTGTACACCCACGCGTTTTGTCTCTACGCGTTTAAATTTTACGTTTAAACTTCATCCTGTTCTCTCTGTCTCTCTTGCCACGTGTCTTTCGTTCCATCAGGAAATAAAGAGAGCACTCACGTACCGAGCAACTTTTTTACAATTACGAATATGTTTACCGTGGTAAAGTAACATTTTCTGTCGCAACATCTTTTTCTCGGTTACTTTCACGTTCATTACTACCTCATCCTTCTTGTTCTCTTTTTCTCTCGCACGCGTTCGCTCACTTTCGCATTCCCATCGATTCTCATCTTCGCTTCTAAAGTGAATTACAGAGCCCTACGAAGTGCGGTAACTGCTGATAACGATTAAAGCTACGATAATATCTTTGAATTAACGTGCGTGCATTAAATACAATGACTACGACGCGTCTCATCGCCGTTATTTTTCTTCATATTTTATCGTGTCAATCGTTTACCGTATGAATCTCTTATTTCTTTTTCGGCGATACTATCATCTGATAACTACCACCTCTTCATAGTATTATATAATATATGTATATAATATAATATGTATGTATAATATATATGTTATATATAATAATAATATATAACATGTATATATAATATATGTATGCTATATATATATATTATATATTCTTTCTATTATCATGTTGCCCTGTGTTCAATCGACATATTATTTTATCTTGTAATTCAAATCTGTTCAATTTCATTCAATCTAAATTTCGGTCCCGAAACATCGATCGAAGATCAGCATCGTTGTATCGAGAGATCAGTGGAATATGTCTACCTGTTTTTTTTTTTCTTTCCTAACGCGTAAAAAACGCGATGCTCGATCTTCGAACGACCAAGCACGCATGGCACACTTTCATGACTTTCAATACTGCACATCTGGTTCTAAACGGATCAAATCACTTTCTTTCTAATTACCTTGGCGTTGTTCTCGAAGCTTGACACTATAAGGTACAAACAGCAGTCCCTAATTACGAAAGATATTTTTCGATGGTTTGGAATTCTTTTACAATTAAAACCAGAAGCAGATTCGGTGACTTTATTTACTTAAAAATTGAGTCTGTGACGGTCGATTAGTATAAAAAATGAAGCACCAACTTGTACGTTAAATTATCTTAAGTCAACAAGTATGTGTCTCACGTTCTATATGCCATTTCGGCCAACAATTTTAACATAGCTAGAACTTAAGAACCTTAGAAATCGTAGTCAAAATCTGACGATTCCTTTTAATCTGGAATGCTGAGATCCAGGAGATGGCCTGCGATCCAAATGCAACAAGTTTCTCAGCTGATCAACGCAAATGATGCGTTTATCCTCGTGAAAAAATGGGATTGAAGCTCCTTTTTATTATTACACGTGCGTAACAATGGCGACGACGATCACGATACGACTAAATTTGTCATTTAACAACTACTGGACGGAGTCGAGCGACATCGTGACAACGATTCCTCTTTTTTTATTTATTTATTTTTGTCTCCCTATCAGCGACCTCGCTCGTCTCGTTTCTAATCGTACATATAGAGATCCGTTAACGATCAGCACGCGGTCGAGCGCGCTGATCCAAGTCTAGGTTAAGTGATTCGAACGCCTATAGGCGTTTCTGCCTGTCGCGTGCACAATTGCCGTGGGCAGGAGTCGAAGCAGGTGATCAAAAGGACGTGGCTTTTGCAAGCTTGCACTCGCTTGTGTAGAATACACGTCTCAGCCTCGAGCGCTTCTAAGAACGACGGGTCTCGCCAGTCCATACTCTCTTCTACATGAACTGCAATAGCAAACCAACTTTATTGTAATCAAATCATTCCTCTTCTCTCTTTCCAGTGTATTGTAATACTTACGATCGTAACTCCAGCGAGCATCAGGCACCATCAAGCGCCTTTTAGCGTCACGTAGTTCTAATCTAAGAAGGCGCTGCCGTAGTCGCAGGTTGTGTATCCTGGATATCGTGCCTCGTGGATCCGAGCGCAACCGCGCGCGCTTGTCCAGGATGTCCACGTCCTCGCTTGTGTAAGCGAGTATCCCCAGTAGCGCGGATGGCGCCCGTGGCAGATGGGCCCGGCACTGGACCTGTGACCGGAGCCCGTACTCTGCCACCCGCTGTTCCACCGCTGAAACACCCGCACAACGTCGAGGTTAGAACCCCCAGCGCGCCACCTGAGGAGAACCACCGTACGGAGGGACCATTTTAGAGGATTTTCACATCGTTTCATCACGGGACTTCAGTTGACAAGCTAAGCTCTATCTATACATTTTTTTTGCGATCATGACATGTTACAATCATGCATTAATTTCTTCTTTTAATTTTCTATATTTGTTTCCTTTTCTTTCTTTTTTCTTTTTTTTTTTTACTAATTACGTTTGCTTTACTCTCAACAGATCGATACGATTTTATCGTAACCGAACTTTGTGCAAAGGATCTCGGGTGATAGGGAATATTCAACTAATGGCATGCAGCTACTTCAACAAGTTAATTGAAAAGGTTTTTATCGATCTTCCTCTGTGCAATATTTACTTTTCATTGCAAGCAGTTTTCATTTGAGATCGCGGACAAAAATTGAAGAGATGGCAAACAAATATCAACTACCTTGGTGCTCTTGAAGAGCTCCGGTATGTCTGGACGAGTCGCTTGCAATACTGCTCGTTTCGCTGTCTCTGACGATGCTGTCGTAGCCAGAACTTTCCGCGCGATGCCTGGACAAAGTAGCTGGCGAGAGTTTTGCTGCGCGTGGCGTAGAATCCGCACCAGAATCGTACCCTTCCTTGTTCAAACCCATCGAAGAGCCCAAACTAGTAATTTTACGTTGCACTCGACCTGAGGATGGCACCGGTGATGGAATAGGCAACTGCAGCGGTGCTGTTGCTACAAGAAAGTTGAAAACATAACATATTATCGACGATATTACGCTTAAATCAAACTTTGATTAATACGAAAATTAGCTGAATATTGTAAAAGAACTATGATATTCTTACCTTGAACTTTGACGTCTTCCTCGATATCTGACTTGCCAGTGACAGTCCTTTCAGACCTCTCAGCCGCTGTGAACAGTTTCTTCGCCTCGACATATTCTTCCTCTGGATCCGAACCCGAAGCTCCATTTCCCGGTAGCCTTTCCACTTCTTCCTTGAGATTAGGATTTGAAGCACCGTCGGGATGCCTGAGACTGGAAATGTTGCACTCGCCAAATTTACCACAGTATCTCCTGGGACTGGCTATGTGCGCTACGCTGTTTGGATACCAGTAAGAAGCAGTGGCCGGTCTGGTCATGCTCTGACGACAATTGTCGCAGATCTTCTCCTGATCGGACTTGCCGGCAATGTACGCGGGTTCACTGTAGATGCTGCCGTGATTGCTCGCATTGTCGTTGAACATCACGTCCGAAAGAGACAAGGATTGACAGCGCGACGGTGGACGGAAGACAGGGGCGGCTGGAATTTGTCCTGCGTTAATGCGATACTTGTTGTAGACCTACGCTGGTTGGCTGACAGGGTGATTTCATTTTAGAGGACTTGCACGATGATTCTCGATGGAACTCGACCCTCTCGTTGCCAGTTTCGTTTCGTTCGGATTCTTGATCACTATATCGGATGTAGCCGATCGAAGGCGACAGCCTTATTTTGCGGTTATGAGGTTCGGAAAAGGAGGAAAGTCGAAGTCTAGAAACGCAACGAAAGGGTCGATAACGCACACAGAAAACACACATAGTTACTGAAAGGTCGAGTAGCGTCCTCTTTGCTCGAACAAACTATCGCAAACTTACATGGAGCTTCTCTGACGTTCACGTTCGACGAGTTCTCCCTTTGATAAGTGACCGAATTGGAGACATTGGCGAGCGCCAGCTTACTTTGGTAGAGCTCGTGGAGTCGAGCCAATTGGTCGAACTTGTGCCTAGTCTCTTGTTCTAGGAAGTCCTCGTGGTCAAAATAAGGTCTGGGCAACACACCGGCGCCGACCGGAGGCGGATATTGAGGCCTGTACCGCTCCGTGTCCGACATTACCGACATCGAGTCTGGAAATTAATACGTATTTCTGTTTCCTATCTGGCTAGCAGGATTCGAACGATAAGAACGAAACAAATGGTTAGATAAGAAGGGACGAAAAGAAAGAGCATATTTAGTCGGAGATGCTGCTTTTATCGAGCACGATTTCCAAGACGGAGAGCATCGACGAATAATTATATCGAGCTGCTACCAATCTCTTTTTTTCTCTCTTCTCGATCGTTAATAATTCTCAAGCTACCTTCTTCTTTTTTCTCTCGCAATATGATTATTTCTCATCGAGCGTACTATTATCAAGTCCGAGGGCTTTCTTCAGAAACAATCTTCGAAGCATTCCCGTTCGAGTACCCCTCGAAAGGGAAGGAAAAACTGAAGATGGAACGACTGGCAGGACATGCTGCGATATGACCGTCGCGAGACACTGTTGTGAAAAACTCGATATGTTTCCTCGGATAATACCACCTCGCGATCTAACCATAATAGCGACTGGACACATCCATGGCAGATAAAAAGAAAACGCGCGTGTTTACTTACCAGTGAAGGTCGATACGACGGTGAGGTTCTCCTGACTGAGAATTCTCAAAGGATGTTCCTCCTGATCGCTCTCGGGTAAAGGATTCTCTCCCATACACATCGCGATATCCTCCTCCGTTACCTGAAGACACGAATCCTGCATGGGAACTGGTTCCAAATCCTCGACCTCGACAATCTCTAAGATCTCGTCCTCGGAGGACAACGAGTGTCTGGAGGGCAGGACAATATCCTTGTGCGAGAGGTTCAAACTTTCCATCGAGACTTCTCTGCTGACGCCGTTGCTAAGTGGTTCGATGAGAGGTAATGGCGGAGGTACCACAATCTCCTCGTCGTCGTCTTCATCCATCTCCTGAAGATCCAATTTTCCTTTGTCCATGCTGTCGTCCATAACAGGGCTGGCCGTCAGATCCAATCCAGAATCCGTGTTGGACTTGACGTTTAAAAGATTTAGCTTGGCGCCGAGCTTCTCCGTGATATCTTCAATCTCGTTCACCTTCAAACTGTCGCTTTCGACCGTGGACAACGAAGTGTCGTCGTCGTCCATACCTCCGCATGTCTTGAACGTCGTCAATTCCTTAAACTGCGACGACTGGCCGGATATCTTCGATGATTCGATTCTAGCCGCTGCGTGTCTGCTCTTCTGAATCTGCGACGACTGGTTCTCAACCCATTTTCTGATCATACTCTTCTTGTGGCTGTCCATGAACCCATAACCAGAGGAATGTTGCTGAGTGTGTAGTTGCAAGGTAGGCGGACCAGTCAGCTGCATGGGACCGTCGATCCAAGTCTCTCTCTTGTGATGAGGATCTTTCAACATGTGTCTAGCCTCGGCAACCTTAGACTTGGAAATCCTGGGACCATCTATCCATTGTTCATCCGAACCACCACTAGGCGCAGCAACTGGAATCTTGCTTCCAGGCGAATCGTTTACCTTCGACGAGGAAAGAACCTTAGTTGATGCACTCTTTCTGGCTGGACTGGCCTTCGGAGTGGCGGTGTGCGCCGGAGAAGTCTGTTTCGAGGCTGTCTGCGTCAAGGTCTTCACTGCCTTGGTGGATTTATGCACCGGACTGCGATCTTCCGGGATCTTGCAGGGTCTCTCTGCCGCGGATCCACGAAGCACTCTTCCCATGGCGCAACGATTGTCTCCGGAGTTCAGACTGGGTATATAAACGGGAGGGTGTTCACCGTCCGTGGCGTCGTCGGTGCTGGGACCGACATAGATCACCGTATCCGCGGACAAATCGCTGGAACTTGGATCGCATTCGCTGTTCTGCCTGGCTGCCTCCTCGCCGGAACTTCCGCCACTACCTGTCCCTTGCGTGCCCCCACCCACGAACTTGATCTTCCTTCGCCTCATTCGGTGAATACGGGACGCTAGTTGCACGGTGGTTAGCGTCTCCGTGTAGTGTTGAGCATTCGGAGACACGTGGGCGATCATCGCGGCGTGACACGTCAACGAGCCGAGACACTCCTTTAGTAATTGGGTTAGTTTGTGCTCCTTGTACGGCAGATGTTTCTGCCCATTGAAGATCGCTAGCAGGATATTGCCTAATCCGGACAAGGGTATCCCACCAGAAGACTTGCCACGATCCGAATTACCCAAGTCCATTAGATGGAGTCTGCTTCTGCCTCCTGCAACTGCCAATTAAAAATATCGAGAAGTATAAATATCATTTCTTTGTTGAAAATCGATTATGAATACAGTTGCGTTAATACTGTGGTCACAGGCTGAAATTTTATCTGATCATTATCGATGTGAATGTAATTTTAGAAACTCTTGAATATCTTTGTTTTTTTCTTCACCAACTGCAAGAGAGCTATCGACATATTCGTTTATTTTAAATACATGATATCGAAAGCTTCCCCCAGATTTACGAAGTCAGTTTCTAGAAACTTGAAGACCGATACAAGCGACCACTTAACACGTAACGTACGATTTGAATTCTTGCGTCATCGTACTCGAAAAATTCATACGCGATGCAAAAACTCGAGTACTCGAGTAAATTGCGTTATCGGGTTTCAAGAATTCGCTACGAGTAACAATGGGAGTAATTTCGCGAAGTCGGTGGAAAGCGATCGTTCTTGGTGAACGGAAGCCACTCGAGGCCGAGGTTGCGTTTCCAGTTTACGCAGCTCAATGACAAACGTTGTTTACGAGCGGCAACTACAAAGGAGGAAAGGGGATCAGTAGATGAAGGGAAATGTTTAGTGGCTCACCTCCACCCTTGCCAGCGACACTGTACTGATAAACGTGCAGAGTGTAGAGCATGTGCGCGTCTCCGTCCTCTCGCTGTCGGCCCGCGACTGCCGCATCCAAATAGAAGGCGGCACGTTCCGCTGTCGGTGCACGAAGCTCGCTGTGCTGCTGCAGCTGCAGGCTGCCGAACAGTGGGTCGTCCCTCAAGTACACAGCCGGTGACTGCTCGGAATCTGGTAACAAAGAGTGGTCGCAAATCACATTACACGCAATCCCTATGTTAATGCTCGCTGCAAACCTTCATCAGCAATAAATAATAACATTGTGTCGTTGCGATTTCTTTCAAGTATACCGTAATAAATTGACTTTTTGTACGCCCTCGGTAGAATTAACGGCGTTTAATGACGTTGTTATTCCGTGAGAATGAAAGTGATCTTCCGTATTGTAAATATATTTATCGTAGGAGCAAACGTGAGTAAATGCAAAGTTATGAGAAAGGAAGAAGGAAGGTTGGCTGGATTATAGGGTCTATACTCAGTGCTATATTATAGCAGAAAAAAAGAAGGGCCGGAGAAGGGGGGAGGGGCACAATGATGCAGGTGGACGGTAGATAGTATAAATCGGCTCCGCCTCAGCCGCGAAATATCCGCGGACCGTCTCACGCTGAATTATGACGTCGATAAAACGCCGAGAGATACGCGCCGTAGAGATATCACGACGCGTTATCACGGATAACTATCGGTGACTGGCGGTGTGCACGGCCATAGCCACGGGTCTTTACGCGAATAATCAACGTAATGCGGAACAGAGTTATAAATAGTGATCAGCGTAAAAGCACTGTTGTTGCTACCTCGTCGAGTCGTGGATATATTATACACTCTGTTTTGCTCTTTCTTGCTACGGAGTTTTTTCAAAAGTATTCTCATCTTGCCTGTATCTTCTCGAGAGATGAAAATTCCGATCTTACGATACTGACTGATAGATACTCGATAAATTTGATACAAAGATCCAAGAACCAACACAATTATCAATCAAAAATTAAATAACGTTCTGAAGAGGAGAAGAATTTTATTCGGTCGTGCTTTCACGTTGGAGAAAAGATTTTCAAAGCTTGCGTAATAACACGCGCTATCTGATCAGCTTGCAAACCAATTTGTTTTATGTACAGCCCCGCCAGTGACATATTGTGTGCGCCTTAGGAAAAGCTTTTGATCCGAAATGACGAGACGGAAGGACAACGATCGTTATTATTATGTACCTATCGATTCTTCGAAACAAGCATCATAAAGAGTCTGATCTTTCTTCTTGTTAAGGAATCTCACTCAGGGTAGACTGGACAAATCTCGTGACCTCCGCGGATTCAAGCAGAAGCGGTACTCGTAAACAAATCTTCAGGATGATAAGATTTAGATAATGTTTGTTGAACGTCCAATTAACCATTTTATTATCTCGTGAACGTCGGCATTTTTGGCATCGTAAACGAACGCAAAGCGCGTTATTGCTGTTTTATTGTCTTTATGTCGTTTGCCCATGTGTATCTTCTTATTTTCTACTTATTTATTTTCTAACTAATCCGAAGATCATAAATGTACAAGATTTTCCAAAGTAATACGAATCAGAAATTAAAACTCTATCAACCGTGATGTGGAAAAGAAGTATTATATGACGTAAAATTATTTCATCCAAAATCTTTTTTTCAAAAGATAGAATATGAAGCTAACGCAGAGTATAAGCTACATAAGGCTAACAAAGCAAAACAAAGTTACTAAGAAAAGCATGCTTGCTTGGACGTATTAATGCGACAGAGGCGTGGCAATATCCATAAAAGGGACAAGAGAAAGTAATATTGTCGGCATCTGCGTCACGTGTCGGTGGTTCGCAACGATGGAAAGCACACTGTGCAGCTTGGAAATCCGTAGAAATAAAACACTCATCTTGCGCGAGAACTCGCTGGAATATGGATACGCGTACAATCCGCTCACCACTGTTTTCTGTTTCCGTGGGGTTCAAGGCAGTCGAACAAATCGTTTTTCCACGCGTTTCGAATACTAGTAGCGTTCGGCCAATCGGTTCCTCCAACCCTCCTGTGGACTCTCCCTTCGTAGATAGTGAAAACAATCTGTTTTCGAACAAGCTTCGAAGACTGTTTTTTCAAATGCACCGTATGTACGCTCTTTGAAACATTTCTTGACTTTTAGCAGGAAAATAAGTCTGAAAATTTAGTATAGGACGACGAACTATTAAGGAATTAAAAACATACAATAAACGGCGAAACTATTCGATCGAATTATAATAGTCGTTCGATGAGGGAAAAACAGGAAAAAAAACGCCGCTTTAAACACTACGAAAAATTAAAGGAAACTTCAATCTTCCAAGCATCGTTGTTTTCTTTTTTCTTCTTTTTCGAACGGGCTCGATAATCATCGGTCGTTGTATCAGTGGCGGATCGGAAACGGCGGAAGCGGTAACTCGTTTCCGAGGGGATCGATAATAACTCGCGTCTGACGCGGCAAGCTTTTCCCTATAATTCGTTCGGCGATGAAATGCCGGCCATTGGCATTTCTATTCACTCGTAACACCGATTTTCCGCTCTGTCTTGTATTCATGCTGGATGCGTCTCGATTTGTGCCGTAAGAAACACGAAACGGGAAACGCGACGAAGGGAAAAGATAGAAAATTAACGAACACCTGGATCTTGGTATTAAAGTAGAAACAGTCTAGTCGGTGCGACGTAGTAGAAGTAGCAGAAGACAGTTACTCCGTGCTTTACACGATCGTGTACGTCCACTGAAATAGGTATACGACGCGAAGACCACCGGTTCGCTGCGTCATTCTCCTCATTTCGCTCGTTTTCTTCATCCTTCTCATGGACGATGTCTCGCGGGGACGAAAGAGATCTGTGTGGTAGCAAGAGGCGAAGGGCCACGCGGTCGTGGCACTGCTTCAGGTAGTATAGCACCGTGAGTAGTGCCGTAAGTTGTGGAGACCTTGGATAGAGAGCCAGAGGGAACCACGGGCAAAGCTCGTAATAAGCGGCTGCGAATATTCGTCGGTCGTGAAAGTCGGTTCTGTCTTGACTATAACTCGACGATCCGTAGGGAGACGCGCGTCGCAGCCACGTTTCGCGTATTTTTCCCGACTGAGAGAGAAAGGAGGAAGGAAAAGAAAAAGAAGGGGAGATGCTCGGGGAAAGTTTTCTATAAATCATTTCTCACCGTAATAAGCACGGGAATGCTCATTTAGTCGTTAACTTTATTTATACACCGGGAATAAATTGCCTGGGTACTTTTAATTCGAACTGCCTTTAATTTAATATTTGCGGAACTTGTTACTTGTTCTCCTTCCTCAATGGTTTTATACGATTCTTATGATTGCGAATGCCACCAATCGCAACAATCGCTGAGTGTGAGCAAGAAGTTGAAGGAGCATTTTCATTTTCATGGGAAATCGAATTTCCTAATGAAATAAACATAGAAAACTACGTTCCATCGTACTTCGTTGCCTTCGAGAATTTTGTACACGCTCGGCAAACCTTGGCATATCGAATGAAATCTTGCAAAAAAGAGAAAATGGGATAATAGAGACGTTATGCAGCCTCGCGAGCTCGCAATGTTCCGCGCAATCCGCGGAGTTAGAATTAACTTCATGTTATTCTTTCATAAGGTGGTTGTTCTTTTGTTTCTCCATACTAGCTATAATTACTTCATTCAAACTCTAAGATATTTCCTTGCTCTCGTTTCCTGATTCGATCCAGTGCAGCTTCTACATCACATATTTTTAATACGTCTTTTTTTATTCTACTACTTCAAAAAATATTTCTTAATTAATTTTACGTTTTTTCAATTTTATGTTGGAGCAATCGCGAATAGAGAATTAACAAAAAATGCTAATAAATTTAACGAACGATGCTCCTATTTCGAATTCTCGAATTAGAAGAAGAAATTCGGAGACCAGATCGGGATGTTAAAATCGTCCGATCGCGGAATGTCCGATTTTCATGATGGTATACGAAAAATTAGTGCCGGCATAAATCAACAATTTATTTTCCAAGCTAAAGTGCGCGAAACCTCGCGTCATTAAACTTTCAAGTGACGAAGTGAGGAAAGCTGTCATTAACGGAACGATCTCCAATTTCTGCTTGAACGCAGAACAGAGGGCCGGAGTACAGGCCATTGCTCGCTAACATTTGTAGGAAAGCCAGCCGGTACGTAAGACGACGATGGTTTTCTTTAATTGCCAACCGCACGGTAGACCCCGCTTCGTATCCCCTTCATAAAAGTTGCCATCTTCAGTAAACGATTTGTCCCGAGCACCCCAATGAAACAGAAGGCAACTTTGTGACAAATACAACGTTGACAATTGATGAATCCACGAATTTGTTTCGACATGAAAAATTAGGGGATGAATCGTGTTCGTGGAAAGAATACACAATTATCGATTTAATTAATCTACCGAGTTAGCTAATATTGTTTGAATAATTTGAGCAAACTAATGTGACTCGGTGGGTAAAATAGATAACTGGTAACCTACGATACATGTTTCGAAAGGAAATATGAGTAGAAGCGGAAGTGTTTTCGACCGCAAATGCATCACTGGTTACACCTCCAACTCCTCTATCGATCCTACATATATGTATACTTTTTCGTACGTATTGAAATACAAACATGCGGCTTCGAGATTATTCTATCGATCGTTTCAGTCAGCCAGCGAACAAATGGATATTAACAAATAATTCGTACGATAGAAACGCCGCCTGCGAACTCAACGGGGGTAAAGTATCGTTTCACTTCTGGTGCATTTGCAAATGAAACGATCATTGTATTTGCAACCGGTACAAAGAGTGATATGTAACGTTAACGGTAATCGAATGAAAATTCTCTCGCAATTCCTGAGCGACCCAGGGGAAATAAAAATTCCCGTGGTTCTCCTTTCAATTCTCAATCGATCGGTAGCCTACGTTCTAAGCATTCCGTAGAATAAAACGAAAGGAAGAACACTCCCATCTGCGTTTTATGCACGTTACGTTAAAAGCTATATGCTCCAGTGACGGTGCTGCTACGACGTTTCCTCCATTATTCTCTCTGCCCTCGTCCTTATCTTCCTTCTTATCCGCTAAACCCGACCGAGGAGTATAAAACAATAACGGTGGCGCGAGTCGCGATGAAAATTATTGCGAGCTGCGAGCTCCGTTGCTCGTCTCGCCTCTCTCGCCACGAGAAACACTCGCCACGGGAAAATATTTCAGAAAATATTTTTATTTCTCACCACCGTTGAAACGCACGTGACCACTTAAAAAACCTCCACGGTACATACATATACAGATATAGAAGAGAATCCTCGATGTGCCTCGATGTCTTCGTTCCATTTTCAAAATAGGAGGAAACCTTTCTGTCGTCTGTATCGCCGGCATCGAGAGACAAATAAAAATCCATCGAAAATGGTGCGAAAGTAAATGTGACTAAGAAACTAGAAGGCAGGACCTGAGGGTGGAAAGAAACAAAAATAAATTACCCCAAAGACGAAAGGTATTTCGTTTCTGGTGCTCGGATCTCCGGCGTCGGGACCCGAAAGCCGTCGAAAACTTTAAATAATTACCGGGACCGAGATTATCGAGTTCCCTGGTAGAAAAGCCGAAGTTGGAGGGTGTGTCGGCGAGAAGAAACGGCACGATGCCGAGTCGCTCTCTCGATATGCTAGGCGACGAGGCAACGACCGGCAAGGACAGAGAGACATCTGGAGAAAGTCGAAACGAGAAGAGGAAGGAAGGAAGGAAGGAAGGAAGGAAGGAAGGAAGGAAGGAAGGAACGAAGGAAGGAACGAAGGAAGGAACGAAGGAAGGAACGAAGGAAGGAACGAACGAACGCGAGCGGCAGTCGAACATTTCTACAGGCAAGACAGGCCTCCAGATACAAGTTAATTATTTAATAAGCTGGAAAATTAATTGCACCGCGTCTTAATTAGTCAGGGTTTCAAGAAAGCGGAAATAATCTTTCGTTGAGAGATTTACACTGCGAGATTTCCAAGTTGAAATCAACACGGAACAATTCAGGAAAATTGACATACGTGTAAGTTGTTGGACGAACAACCAGAAAAACCAAGGAGGAAAATTTTGTCTTTTGAAATTTGACATTATATTTAACCGCAGTTATTGTAAAATAGAGAAACGGGACCTACGTTCACGCAAAAATGCTTTCTATTCTTGAAGGGTTCGACTGGTTCCAACGGAGTACATGAATTAAAAGTGTATCATGGAAGGCATGCGAAGTAGGCGAAAAAAAGAAATTGACAGCAGTTTTATAGACTGGCCACTATGCGCGGCAACATTCGAGGAAATAGCTCCGTTCGATGCCGCAGTTTAATATGCCACGTTCCAGCCTGGCACGCGACTTCTGCGTTAATGTCAGCTACGAAATTTACTACGATTCTAAACCCTTTGAGATTATGACCCTTTCGCATTTATCCTCTTTCACGGAACGATCGCGATAACTTCGGTCACATTCTACGCCGTGAATTGTTTCTTAATGCATCACGCGCCCGCGTACCGCGTATTGCCGTTTTAATTTTTAAGTTTTATCTTAACGTGCCGCTCCACCCACATGGTTGCTTTCCATGATAATTTCGACATTCAATTTGATGTGTATGATAAAACCTGCTTCGAAAAAACCGTCGTAAAACTTCATTATGCTGCTTCGATAGCTAACGGAATTCTAGAAAGAATGGTGCGTATGATCGCCGCGAAGCAATTAGGTACTTCGAACAACAATCATGAAAAGGTTCACGTGAAAACACGATATCATAAGAAAATGGTAAGAGAAGGTTAGAAGTGGACGTCGAAGGTTAATTTTCAGAGGTCGTTCGAGAAAAGCTCGTTCCTCATGCTTCCCGACTTCGAGAGAGTTCCCATAAGTGCACCACAGCAGAGAGGAGGATCCACTCTTCGGTTTCTTATTAGTCTTCCAGGTTGTTCCTCGCAATTCTTCCGCAGACGGAAACAAAGAACGAGAACAAGGAGGAAGATCACGAACGAAGAGAATAAGACAAAGAAGAAATGAAAAGGGAGACGAAAAGAGGGAAGACAAGAAATAATCTTACCCCTCAATTTTACGGACCACCGAGTGGACGAGGTGGTCCGTGAAGACAAAACCAAATGACGACCAGAACGATTCTCCTCCCGTTTCCTGCATATTACGCCGAATTTTATACCGATGCGGAAACTAAAGACAGTAAAAACAAAAAGCAATGATTTCATTCTTACAGACGTTCGACGTTACAGCGCTTCTTCTGATTTATTATTAATTATTATTACGGGCTATTTTTCCCAATTGAAAGACGCTGAAAAGCCAGCCATCATATTGCAGAAAGCTACAATATCAAGCAACTTTTTCTTCTCCAACCAGTGATATTTTATTTTATATCAAGATCCTATTTATCTTATTTTTGTCGATGCAATTTATCTCGATGCTTTCAGGAACGATGTTGACAAATTCATTTTAGATCACGTTGTTTTATCCATTTGTCCCGATATCGATATTTTCTTTTTCTCCTTTGTTTCTTTCTAAAAAATATACTTCTCTCTTCTTTTAAAAATTATTCAAAAATTCGTTGCATCCTATAAGTAACTTGCGCGTGTCCATAAACGGACAATAAAGAAAACAACATGATGTTCGACTGAAAATTAGGTGCTTGCAATTAGTTTATTGACAGGCGTCGAACGTTTTCTTCACTGCATCCGGTACTAATTAATCCAAAACGATTATACCTATCCGCATTGTTCTAAGCATCGCATTAATTGCGGCGAACATTCAATCCCATCACAGAAAACTAGAGGAGGAAACTTTGAATCCCTCGCATTTAAATTGATATATATTTATATTGATAATTGATAATTGATATATATAGATTTAAGATACTCGTTTGTAGATGCTAGAGGGAAAGAATTCTTAAAATCTGGGGATCAAGCGCGAGCCAAGTGTTTCTTACGACTGAAGTTTCTTCGACACGTCGCGAATACAATGCTATCGCGATTGAGGAACGTTGAACGAGAAAACTTTGACGTCGTGCCGTTGCAGCGATTACGTTACAAATGTTGCTTGTAATTTGTAAGTAAAACTTCTATGCTGCGATTCGACTCAAACGTGGATGATTTGGATGATGAATGAACGTGTTTACGTTCGGATGAATAGAGATAAGTTTAGAGTAGTTTCTTACAAACTTGTTGGAAAATAGTAGGAAAACACGTAGGAAAAATTTATTTGTGACTTTTAATTCTGTTTCTTTCTTGTTTCTTACTTGCGTTACATTCTCTCTAGCAGAATTGGGCAAAAAAATGAATCAAAGATTAACGAGTAAATTTTTCCAATAATTTTTAATTGCAATTAATGATTACATTTCAATTTTAGTTGTTAATAATAAGTAATGAATAATACATTCTTACTTTAGTCGTCAGATGCGATGAACGATTAAATACCTTTTAATCATTAATTGCAATTAGGAATGAAATAGCGTTTTTCATGTGTCTATTTGTTCGCGGCTAGGGGAGACATGTCGTAAAAATGTAAAGTGTATAAAGAAACAATGAAGTTTTTATAAGTCCATGATCAGTGAAATGATATTAAACCCTTCTTACATTTTTTTCTCAGTCTTCAGTATATTTTAGTTACTATAACATGTCAGATGTAAAGCATTGGAAGCGTTATATATAAGCATTTATTAATCTTCAGTTTGAAAAATTAAAATTGAGAATTCAAATTCATATTCTAAAGGATATTTCTTTCAAACTGAAAAACGTACTTCTTATTACGAGTGTAACTTGATATTTTAACTCTAATGGGTTAATGTTTAAAACGAACTGAAGCTTTTTTATTACTGTTAATTTATTTAACAAATTTCGAAGGATTTCGAAATAAGTTAATTAAATTTGCAACTAAAAATATGGGTCGCTCTAGACGGTATAAATCAGGAATATCTTTTACTTCGATTAAATATCTTAATCTTGAATCTTTGAAAGAATCAAAGTTTTTTTTTTACAAATTTAAAATATATCTTTGATTTATATGAAATTATGAACAAATTCAATGTAACAATTAACAATTCATGATTAATGATTAACATTACTAATCGATTAAATAAATCGCTAATTTTTCAACGATTATTTTCTTTTAATTTTTTGACGATTAATTTTATCGATTAAATCAATTGTCGATTTTTGAACGATTAGTTTTATTAGTTGTCAAGCATTAATCAGCCGATTGTACTAAAAAATTTAATCGATTAACCCCTAACTCTATTCTGTAGCTATATCCTATACATTAGTACCGGCTCGTACGGAGACACTTATTTACTTACCGTTAGCATGAGCCGCAAGAAGATCCCTGAGCTGCTGTTGACCAGTGGTCAATTCTACACAACTGACCCTGACACTAAATCTGGCACCAGTCCTTTGTCGCTGTTCGGATATCCCACGGAAAAGCCAGGCAATTGCACACGGAATCGCTCCTAGAGTGTGTCCTGCCTCTGGTGTACCCAGCATTGTGTGCGACTTGCCTGAAATAATGAAATAAAACTCGAATCACATACGTAAATGTTCGAAATTTTTATTAACGAGTAGAATTTTTCAATAATATTTATTACTAAATAAATCCCAATAATATACAATAAATTAAAAAAAAGAAAAAATATTGTTATATAATATTATGTCACAATGTTAAAAGAACATTGGAGAGCTTCGTTTCGAATACAGCTATGTGTAGAAAAAAAGTTTAAAATCGAAATTACTGCAGTTCATTCAATGATTCGAGATAGCAGATATAAACATAAGCATATGGTGGCATACGAGACAGGGGTGAAGTTGTAGTTCTTAAATATTGTAGATAGTACTTGCAGACTAACAAATTTGTTCCTGATATAAACAGGAACAAATTAATTATGAAAATAATTAATATTTGATGATAAATCTGCTTTAGCATATAGATGTTCTGTTTAAATTTAGAGTCACGACTATTGAACGAACTACAATTGATCAGGCAATTTAGTAATCCTATTTATAAACATGAGCGAAAAATGAAAGAGAAATGTGAGGCAGTTTCCTTCTTTTCAAAGTAAATAACGCAATCTCATTCTTGTTTGCCGCATTTTTTGCAAATTATAGGGTTCTCGACATTTGTCACTTATATTTTATTAGTTTTATTGTCCTCTACAATACATATTTTATTAATTGACATTTATTATATACATATTTTATTAGTTTTATTATGCTTACAATGTCTTATTTGACAAATTTTCCATACGCATGGAACTCTATATATATTTGCTGTTTTATTCTATATTTCTTTTTGGTTTATCTCTTGTAATTTTCAAGGGCAAGTTATTCTGCTAATTCAAGTAAAAATGCTTGGCTCGAAATTCTTTCTTCAGTCGTTTCTTTATACACGCATTTATTGCGGCTATATCTAGGATATTGAAAAAGATTTGCAGAAATCATTTCCAAGACTTTGATTTTACACTATATTTTCTAGCCATTTGATCGGTCATATCTATACCGAACTTGGTACTATTATAAAACCTAATTGTTTCTTTCCGTATATGCAAATCATTCTTTTCAATTGTTATAGATTCATGCATTGAACTCAAAACAAGTACCCTTTTATTCGATTTACATTTATATATTGTAGAATATCAGTCTTATAGCCTAGCATAAATGTCTTTTGTTTGGCAAGTTTTAGCGATTTCCCTTTATTAGAACGAATAGCTTCAACCACAGTGGTTTTTATCGCTAACAATTTTTTGGCTAATGATACGCTTGTAAAAAAATGATTTGTGATTATATTTCTTTCAATATTCAGCCTGTGAATGGTTCTATTAATTTGAGAACAACAAATTTTCCAAGAGAAATTGAAGATTCTCTTCTTTATCTTTTCTCAAATATGGAAACCCGTTTATGATGTATTTGTTGATTACGTTAGTAGTTAACTAGAATTTAATGCCAAATTTATCTGGGTTATTCAGCATATACTCTGTAAACTGACACCTACTGTTAGATTTATCCTTTTAGAATTACAAAATTGTACTCTTTCTCCTAATTTCGAGGTCTGCATTTATAAATAAAACAAAGCACACTTTTTCCACGTATTCATCATTTATCGTCATCTTATCGCGACTTGTTCAGATCAAAGACTAATTCTGCTTTCAGTCAAAATTATGCTTCATTTAGAGATTGACTTACACTTATAGCTATTGCGTACATTTAGATTTGGATCTTCCAAGAAAATAACGTTATATTCTTCAACCGGTTAAATGACTGCTCGCGGTAGACAAGACAAGCTACATCATATTTCCCGAAAAAAGAAAAAAAATAAAAAAGAGCAATAAATATTGAAAAATTCATTATATATTATTTATTATATAATAAAAAAAATCGTAAAGTTAAATCACGATATAATAACAATGTATATATAAAAATTTGAACGAAAGTCTAAAAACGGCTATTTGACCGGGTTGTGGTAGGTGTAATGTTAAATAAAATTTAATATTTCGATGAACATAAAATATTTTCATGTTGACAATTTAAATCACAAAATAAAATAATCATATTATATAATTTATTTTAATAATTTAAAACATAAAGTAAAATATTTTAGTTTAATAATCTAAAGCATAAAATAAAATATTTTAATCTTGCTTAAATTATTGAGTCATGAGCAATGCGATTTTTTCGATTAGTTTTTTAACGTAAATATTAAAATTTTTATCTCGAGATATTGAACGAAATTGAGATAAGAACAAGTTGTAAATAATGGTAAATATTCCTGATAATGTTAAATATTTCTTTCTTTTACATTGTTTTAAAACTCTCAGAAACCGCAGAATTTATGAAATTATGTAATATTTTACTAAAAATAATCCAAAAAGGAAATAATGCTTACATTTAATTAGCATTTACATTTTTATACATAGAAAAATCATCCGATTGTACGATTTTCAGTAAACAGTATAAAGAGAGATTAGAGGACAATATAGTGAATGTAAATCATTATTTATTATCAATAACATTTAAAATAAATAAAATAAATTAGTATTTTTCAATATTCTTCAAACAAAATACTATTTTGGAAAGTTAGTACATCAAATAAAATCAAATAAAATGTTTTATTTTCAACGTTTAAATTGTACGCATAGCTTAAAATAAATAGGATTATTTATTATTTACTATTTAAAATAGTATTTTATTCAACTCTGTTGTACAATAGTTGGATATTATCTAATATAGAAGAATAGTTACGATTAACATATGATATTCTGATATTCATTTTGTAGGTGATAAATTTAAAAAACTTACATCATACTTTTACTAACATATTTTGCATAGTAGGAGATTAAATAATGCATAATTGCGAATTGTAGTTTAACAAGTGAATGATAAAAAATTAATTGTATATTTGAATGATGTACGTTTGAATCATTAAATTGTATGTTCAACAATACCCGAGTGAAACGCTTAATGAATCCAAGTACTTCGAAAATTTATGAACACAATATTGAAGTAATATTTTGAAAAATCCAAGTTCGACGTAGAAAATACTTCAATCTCGAATTAAAAGCAATTATGTAGATTCATTTTGAGATAAATGTTATCCTTCACAGTTTTCATGTGAAGCTTCCACTTTTCTTCTAGTTCTAAAAATAATATTCATATTTATTTAAACTCTCTCATTTAAGCAATAAAATCATTCAATAGCTATATATTTTTCAACATCGTTGGTCACACGCGTTCAAGTATCCGCATATCGATTACTTTTCAAAATATATTGTCGCTAATATAAATATATTGGTGGGTGCATGTTATCATTCATAAATTCGTCGGTTAAAGCGGTTCTTTGGTCTAAAACTTGAATGAGAAGCAGAGCCATGGAAAACGTCACCCTGATTAAATCGTGACCACGGAACAAACAACGGAGCTCGCGATTGATTTTCCTTGCTTTTCGTTCAACCACGTGGGAGGATCGATTCGCATGGTTACCCTTTGAAAATCCACCGCCGATGTGCAACTGCAAATCTGCAGATCGGTGTTGAACGCAACAATCGCGACGGCTGATTTGTGGTCCCGGTCGGCGACAATTAATTTGTTTACTATTTACCGGAACGCCATGAGAAACGTGAGCACGATAAACGCTCCATCATAGTTACGACGCGTAACGAGACCCGTCAGCGACGATCTAATTTATACCGGGAATAGATTGAAACCGATTAATTCGGTTACCATTACAAGTCCGCAGCTTTCACCAACGACGGGCGAATGTGATCGAGAATGGCGACGGCGTTATGGTTTCAACCGATGTTGTTATTTGTGGAAAAACCACAAAAGCTGTTGGGAAAAGGAATAATTCGAATTCTTCCAACAAAAGAACACGTATCATAAGTAGGGGAAAGACATCTAATGTGGGGAAGTTTTTTTTAGTAGCTTACAGATTCTATGTAAACAGAGAAATTTTGCATATATTGCTTTTAAATATATGTATAATATATGTAGATTTATATTGCTTTTAATATATATAATATATATTATAATTATATAATAATATAATACATATTGCTTTTAATACTTATAATATGTATAAATAGATAGTTTGTGACTGATTCATCTGTCATCATCACCGCGATTTTACATATTGTTAAATATGCGATGTTTCCATGTTACTTTCAATATGGGGAAGTGGGTGATTATAATATGGAGCAACGTTTTATAATAGTAAAAATTTTAGTTATAATTATATTTTTTTATTTAAATGGTTTTTTAATTTTTTTTATGTGAAAATTGGTAGTATATTAATAATAAAATCCTTTCAAACTTTATACTCAAAAGTTATAAATTAAAAGTGAATATGCTTTGTAAATTCGGACTTTCTTATTTCTAGCAGCATATATCATGTTCGGATTCTATTATTGATGCAATTTATGTAATTAAATATTCTATAATAGTGTTCTATAGTAGTCAAGTAATAGTAGTCAATAAGTAATAGTAGTGGTAATAGTAGTCAATAAGTTTATTTAAGAAATATATTTTAATAAAGTCATATTTCTAATATGAGCCGCATATTAGAGACAGGTTATTTCCCCATAATAGGCACAAAATATATCATGCAAGATATTTTATTATTTTTGTAATAACTAAACTTCATCCAAGAGTTTAGAAGGATCAGGACAATAAAAGCGAAATTGTCATTTTAAAGATAGAAATCATCATATTTTTGAAAAGATATGATGAAATGTAACAAAGCGTAAAATTTTTTGTAACAGTTATTTTAATTGATCGACTCTCAATACTTTAATCAGCAGGTATTGGATTTTTCACACATAGAAACAAATGATGATGTACTAATCATAATGTGGATAGAGTGCACTGCTCATCTTGTAAGATTTTAGACTTCTCCATATTGAAAAGTGCGTCTTTTCATATTAAATGCCTTTCTTCATAATATGTAATTATTTATTTGGCATAGTCTGTGATATGAGATTCTAATCATTTTCATTAAATTTTCTTCTCCCATCTCCTTTTCCCAATGTCTATAAAATTGATCTATAAAATCTGTTAGGTCACATCACACTTTGCCAAAATAGTATTCTTCTTCCGCGAAGGGTGAAAAACTTTGAAATTCTGCGCGAGAAGACAACGAGCAAGAGATATTGCCGATAGAGAAACGAAAGAGTCTTATTAAAATCATAAAACAATACGGGCGCGTCGAAAGAATTCGATTCGAGCCGAAAAAAATAAAAGACAAGAAAAGGTAAAGAAATAGGAGAAAGTGAAGGACCGAACGGAAGGAGGAACGACGAGAATTGAAAGCGAAAGCCGTAAGAATTCAAGGGGTGAGTTTCTCACGTTGGCTGCTGGCAACGGCGAAATAATGGGAAAGCACCGGCAGCCGTCGCTGAATCTTAAACGTTATTTAATTGTTTTAACGTAAGACGGTGAATTATGTTGTTATTTAATTAGAAACTGGGAAGAAGAGGGCGACGTTAAAACGGGCATTCGCTTTTCAGCCGATTTTCCGGACAAATTCGGTAACATTACGCGGATTATAATCGTAGAGAAATTTACAGTGATGAGCAAAACTGAACACACACGTGGAACTTTAATGTGAATATTTTATTGTAGAATACAAAAAAGCAAAATATGTAGTGTTTTGTAGAATTTTTTGTCTTTCTCAAAAAAAGTCTGTCTTTTATTATCGTGTTACCATTGCTATTCTGGCAGGTACAAACTGTTTCTCTGGAGTCAGTTTTATACCGCGAGTCATAAAATTTGAAAAATTATCGATGCTTTAAACTGTTAAACTTTATAAAAGAAATCATACAAGTTATTTGGTTTCGTTGGTTAAGCTGGTAAGCTTAAAGCTTAAAATATTATTTTGATTATCCTGAATTCGTTTTCTTTCACAAGACATCTTAACGTAGAAAATGGAAAAGTGTCCTTTTCTTTAACAAAAATTATAAAAATTCACATATATGTAAAAACATTGAAAAATTTTATTTACGACTAACTCCATCGTGATCTTGAAGATTGAAATTTTCTCTGATAACAATCCCTTAAAATTTGCTGTACGATTTTTTCGTCATTTTATTAAACTTTGAATATTAGGATTAAATGACAAAAATTCAAGAAATCATTTCGCCATCTAATTCTAATGTTGAAAGTTCAATAAAATAGAAAAAGAACAAATCGCGAGATTTAAGGAATTGTTATAAAGAAAAGAAATCTTTATAAAAATTTTTATAAAAAAAAAATTTCAATTTTCAAGACCGTCATCGAATCAAATCATAAAAATAATTTGTCAATGTTTTTAGAGATATTTCAATTTTTATAATTTTCGAGAATGAAAGTATTCTTGCTTTCCTATCTGTTACATGATGTAAAAACATCTTGGAACAAAACTTGGGACAGTCAACGCAAAAGCTTTAAAATGAGATAAGTAGACTGTTGTATGATTTTCTTTTACAAAGTTATAACAATTTAAAGTATTGACAATGTTTTATCATTATGCTCTTCACTGTACATCGCATTTCTATGAAACTTCATAATCTTTCAAATTAAACTGAC